TTAACATCATTTGTTCCCATTGGACTTTATGCTTGCGGTATAATAACATGCATACTTGCGCATCTTCAACCTATTCATTTATTTGTTAGATATAAAAAAACCCTTCTCAAAAATATAATTTTATATAAACGTAAATTATATATATTTACCGAAGAATGTTTTCCTTCCTGAATAATCATACCCAACTCCTCTTGTGCCAACCGTTTCAATGAAGGAGTTTTTCCCCGAGAAATTTTGCGAAAAGGTTCATAAATCGAAGTATCACGTATCATTTTACGAGGATGATCTAACATTAATGTCTTTTTTTTTTAAAAAAAAAAAAAAAAAAAAGAGAATTAAGACGTCTAATTTACATTCATATAATCAACATATTGCATACTATTACCTTAAAATCATGGTGAAGAGCATGACCAATAACTATGCGATCTTTTATGATATTTGCCACTTCTAATTGAACATCCTTGAAATCATATGCTAAAAGTATTGAATAAATTATTTAGAATATGAGGATATAAGAATAGTAAAAAATGTTTAAAAGAATTTACATTTAAAAAGTAACTTTGGAGTGATTCCACTAACATCGGTCCTGAAATCAGTGACATATTCTGTAGGACGTACATATTTATCCAAGATTACAACACCATGATAATTTACTATAGTTACACGAGCAAGTACTGATCTTTCACCTTCAGGACCAACACCAACCATTTCGCAATCGATCGATATGTATTTTCCGATTCTAAAGAAATTTAATTAACAATGTAAAGCATCAATTATTATTAAAAAGAATATATGTAAATATACATACTTGGATTGATGGTTTAATTTTTTATTTTTTAAAGAAACATCGAGATCTTGTTTAATATTATCGAGGTATAATTTACTGATGGTTGACACATCATCATTCGATATAGTTGACTGAGAACTAGTGGAGCTAATGAAAAAATTACATTACAATAAAATCAACCTATCTAACTGATTTGCTTAAGGAAAATTTACCTTGACTTTAAGTGTTTAATATGATTGTATCTTAGCTCTTTACGTTTTCGTTTATTCTTATTTGACGTACCCTCTTGCAAAATTTTCTATTTATTAGATAAAAAGATTAAAAGTTAGTAATTATAAACGAAAAAAAAAGAGGAAAATCGAAAACATACATCTTTAATCTTTAGCCAATTTGAAGAAACTGACATTGTGAAAAAACTATTAAAAATAATGAGTATGATACTTTTTATCAAAGATGTTGATTGGAAGATCTACGTTTTTTTTTTCGGGAATTCTGGTTGGCTAACACGAATGAGTAATTTCGGTCACCTCCTTGCGTCCTGATTGGTCAACACATCTCGTGATCTATTAATGAATTAATACTTTCGCAGAGACGAATCGAATGACCCAAATTAGTTAGAATTAACGTTTAAAATTGGTTAAGCGAGTTTATCATTACATTAAGGGTGTTCTCAAGCAACTCCCTCAATGTATCGAGATCGTGCACAAGCATTAAGATCAATTGAAATAATCCTATAACAACTTTTGCTGGAGATTCATGGTGCGAAATGTGGATATTAAATTTTATCCAATCGATGCAATCCTATGAAAAAAAAAGATGGTCGCGACCATCTTTTTTTTTCATTGCAATGAAGAACTTTTCACTAATTAATCCGATCCATTGATTTAGATGCTTGAGAGCATCCTAAATTGACTTTTGTGCATTGAATAAGCCAATTCGCAAGAATAAACTCTATTTACAATAATTCTAAATTGTTTGGGAAGTTTGGATAACTTTCGTTTTCGTGCTATTTGCATTTCTGCGTCATAATCCACTTTTTTAATACAAAAAAAAATATAATACGAGAGTCTGTTGATAAAAAATTATTCCTCAAGTCAAATTATTTCTTGTAGTTTACTTAAATGATTATAATTTCGAGAACCAGTAGTAATTGAACCAAACTATTTTAGAATCATTCAACTCGTCTCAGCGAAACTGCCAAAAT